CATCTGGCACTGCAGCTTCTGCCACAATGCCACAGGCGGCAGCCATTCCCCCCGATGCTCCTATTGTGTTTGATCTTCTCACTTCCCCCGAGGAAACGTTCACGCTTAATCTCGATAGTCAGAATGACAGGTATGGTCTTTGTAGGCTCTGTTGTGAAATATTGATTTTAACATTTTCATAGAATAAGAAAACATCAAATTTCCAGTGGTATTTGTTACTCGAAAATTGTCATAGAAATGTTGGAATTACATGCCAGTACGAATCATTCTCCACACTGTTGGTAGTACTCTTTGTCAAAAGAATAATGGTGGTGTCGTTAGCAGTGCAAGAGAAAGTGATGATAGAGTATTTTTGCTGCTATTTTATTGTAGACCAGTACCACAGCTAGTTTTGGAGTGATTTTCCTAGCAGTAGCAGTGAAATGTAATTTTGGTGTATATAGTAACCCACTGCTGCTGAGAACATGTAATGTCCATTGTAGAATTATTTTGTAATGTTTTTACATAGATAGCTCCACAAGTGCTTAGCTACCAAGGAGTCGGTTAATAGGTGTACATGACCTCACCTGATTTCCCATGTCCTTGAGTGTGACAGGAAATAGGACAAATGTTTTCCTAAAAAAAAAAAAAAAAAAAATCCTAATGCTATCAATATTAATATGTTATTATTACTGATATTATGATTATTGTAATTTTTTTAACAATGAAATCAGCAACATAGAATAAAAAAGAATTTTGGATATCAAAGAAAATGGTAAACAGGCAAGCTAAGTTGGACTATTGATTGACTCCTTGGTGACTAAGCACTTGTGGAGCCATCTACGTGTAAACTCAATTAATAAACTAAACTCATGGCATGTTCAAACAACCCCCACAACAATGTTAACAGATTCTAAGATATATTTAGGTAATAGATTAAAGGCTTAGCAGTCTCTTTATTCTCTATACTTCCTAAGTATTTAAAAACAAACAATTTCAAGACTGTCTCTTAATCCACTCCAGTGAACAAGATGTCACGGATGACGGTGCTGAGGGCAAAGTCGTAAAGCAAGAAACCGATAAATTCTTCACAGTCCGCTTCCTTGGGTCTATGGGTGTCAATGTTGATAAAGGTAAGTAAGAGTAATAATTTATCCATCATGGAGGCATTCAGAATTTGGAGTTTGTGAATTTTTTTGGTGGGCAATGATCATGATGTGTCTTACCGTTTGACCTGGTTTTAGCTTAACTTTAATACTTTGATACTTACCAGATGTGAATATGAACTAAAAACTTAGTTGAAAGTATTAAATAGTAGAATTTAAATTGTTCCTGAATATAGATGTGAAGCCCATATCTGAACCTGTCATGAAGTTGTCATACCTAATAGAGTCTCCCAGGTTGTCAGGAGTGATGATTTTGGGGTGTTCTGATATGTTACTATTTCAGTTTATTACACATGAATCATATAAAAGTTCCAAGTATGGCACAGAAAAATACTTCACATGTTATATGTTGAGAAGAGGGCAGTGAATGTTAATAGCTGTATTAGGGATTATAAAGCCATCAGTTAAGAATTGGATTGTTTGATTATTTTGCTTTCTTTCTCTCTCTCTTTATTTAATGATTATTTACACATTGTCACATGTAAATGAAAATCTCTCTTGAAAGGTGAAGATAAAGATGAGGAAGTAGTTCTTAGTGCCTTTTTTAACCATTATTAAACAGGATGGAATGGAGAGGGCAAAAAAATATAATTACTTTTATTTATGGGTTGAATTTTGGTTTACTTCTTAGCAGATTCACTTCATCAGGTAACCCAAACATGACGGGAGATGCTTGAGGGGAAAATTAGAAGCACAGAAATCATAAAATGACTCTGCTGTCTATGCTCTTGGCTGCAGCATAAATGATTGATTAGATACTGGAAATAAAACGTTAACTTTAGCCCTACTTTTGAGGGGCTGTTCCTCCTCAGTGACCAATGCCAAGACCAAATGATTGAATACCTATTTAGAACAGACAAGACATAGAGCAAGCCAGACCACGTATAATGGGATAGGACATCAGCCCAGTGTCTAATAGATTGCCAATCCATCAGTTATTGCCAACAACTTGAGTATTTGGTTTAGGAGCGTACTGGAAGTGGTCTTATTGCATATTACTCCAAATGCATTACCATACACAAACAAGGTGAACAGTAAATAGGATTCCATATATTGTCATAGTGCAAAGATATTCACATATTTGCTTCTTCTCTTTGATGAATAATAATTGTCATGGAACCACACCAGCCTTTCATGTTACTCACACTGTTGCATTGATAAAGATGAGCCCAGCCCACTAGAAATGACAGAATAGAGCAAACATCACAATGAAAGGATTACTCATCTTAATTTTTTAACATCTCTAGCTATATATACCTTCTTCTAGGTGATTGTGAGCTCCAGATCTTTTTCTGTTTTATAAAGAGTGTCAGCCAGTGTTTTTCTTTTCACAGCCCAATTTTATATACTGGGGATTCAGTTTGAGGATCTATGTTTTGGTTGATTTTCTTCAAAATGTAAATATAAATGTATATAGATGTATCCTGATTTAAAATAATTAGATACATTCACAACCTATTAAGGATTCTCAGTGACATGTTCTTGAATGTATGTATGGATGGATGGGTACCCTTCAGTTTGGAGGGATGAACAAAATTCATTGAAAACAAATTAATTCAGTGAATCTGTGGGCAGTGTAACTGTATATGCCATAGAATAGAACATTTTTGAATGAACAGTATTGAAGTCAAATTCTAGCAAAAATAGGGAATAAAATAAAAAAGGGTTGATAACCAGTTGACAACATAATGCCAAAGAAGTGATTGTGAGGATAATGAAAGAATCTAAAGGCTGTTGGTGATTCAAAGTCTTCTCAAAAGGAAACACAATTCTTAACGAGTTTCACAAGTCGCCATTTAGGATCACACTACTGTCATTACTTTGCTAGCATCAGTATCGAGTATAGAGGATCAGATATTTTCTTGCACCTTTTTATTTTCCTTTTTTTACTTTTATTTTTTAGTTTTATATGTTTACTACTCTGCAATTTTTATTTATTTATTTTTATTTATTATTGTTATTATTATTTTACGTGATGTGCTCATCAGAAGATTAGAAAGGCCTGTTTTTACTAAGTAATTATGAAACTTCAAGATCATTGTTTTCATGAAGTTAACTACTGATGTAGCTTTCTGCAAGTGTCTTGGATTCTGATTGCCTCAGACAGTGCATGGTTTTCCTTTTTCTTAAGTTTACCCCAAAAAAACACTATTGGTGTTGTGAAATAATTTTTCTCATGACTGCACCATTTTTTATTTTTTTATGATGATAATAATTTTCAGATCTTTTATCTAGAGCTTTGAGTTATGGTTTTATTAATTTTGTGTTATTAACTTTTTCTTTTCATTTCGGCTGTATTGAATTTGCATGTTCCCACAAAAATTTTGATTGATTTTTTTAGATTAATTAGGTGAGTCATTTGAACAGCACTTTTAAACATGCACTAGATTGGATATCCTCATGTTGCACAGAACTGAAGGAATGGCAAGCTAAATTTTTGTTAGAAAGAGAAATGAATAACTGAGGCAAGTTAAGAAATCTCTTTATTTTCATCTTTCTCATTTGAAATTTTACACTCATTTTACGGTAGTTGCTAATTATCATCATCATCATCATTCATCGTTTATCACCATCTATCAGTCGTAATTGTACAGGCACATATCTTTTTGTTTGTCTTTTGTTCTTTCTTTCCTTTTTCATCTATAAGTTTTTTAAATTTGGAACTTTAATAAACTGCCTCCATCTTTGCAAGTCTGTCATTTCACTGCAACATAGATAACATTTTTTTTTCTTGTGAACAGCAACACTTGACATATTTATTTGTGGTTTGAAAAGGAACGGTATGTTGATTCACCTTTTCCATTCTTCTTGATTAAAAATGGACGAGAAACAGTATTAGAGATTAATGGAGACATGTGTCAAAAATATGCAAATAGTATTGGAAGAGTTTTTTTTCATTTTTATTCAGAAATATTAAATCCCCTTTTTTTATATCTATACCCTGGAATATCAAAATTGCATCAATATCAAATTTATCATGGGTCCGATAAGTTTTCATTTTATGTGAGAGGAGTAGAAAAGAGTCTTTATTCCACAGTATAAACAATTATGTAATTCACCAGAGATTCTGTTTTCCAGATGATATGTCTAAGTATAATTAGTAGTGTAAGGACTTGGGAAGAATAATATTTCCAGTGCCATTTAACTCGTGTGGTATAGGTAAAGTGTTGAGTGTAATAATGCCCATTTAATACCCATTGCTATTCCATTTTGCTCCAAGGATAAGAAATGCATTAACTGTAATATTTGTGTGCTAAACTAATTTTTTTTACATGTAAAGATTGATGTTTGTGTTGCCTTCCTTTCAGTTGTATCTTTCATAGATGGTGAGTGGTTTATCTCATGTTCAGGGCAGGGTTCTCCCCAGAGTAGAATGATCTGTGAACAATGCTCAAGGATGATTTAGTTAGTTCCACTTATGAGTTTTGATGTTCACTGTAGGTCTTTTGAGCCTCAGTGTCTTAAATACAACAGGCTTCTCCTGAGGCAGTATGTTGTGATGTAGCTTTGTTAAGGTTGATGGTAAGAATTTGTGATTGTTTATAAGTCATACTTCAGAAACCCTTTTGGTCATCCATTCTAAGATTCTTAATTTTTAAATTGTTTTTTTCCAGATTATAGATGTATTGCACATTTGATCAAAGATTTTATTTTCTTCTTTTTAATTTTAGAGTTGAGGTAGTTATACTGTTATGTGTGTAGCACACATAACTGAGGGAGAACCCTGCAGTTGTCAGTTATTTTAGCAATACTTTTTATGGTTGCTGTGCATTTTGTATCAATGAATATCTTATCTTGTAGATTCTACCCAAAAATCTATGTTGTAATGTTTGTTTGGAGATGTGCCACAAATAAATTAAATACAGAATGCAGTATGAATGCTAGAATAAACTTTTGACATCATGTACGCAAAAGGGATGCATTCAGGCAAAGGATAGATAAGTTTTAAGATTAATTCTTATATGAATTATTTCAAATTTTCAAAGATGCATGTTATTCAGATTTACTTTTCTTGTCATTTCAAGCATTACTAAGTCTGGAGTATATAAAGTAGAACATTTCTTAAGATATAGATGTATTATGATGTTGTAAATGTTAGGTAACATATAGGGAGCATAGAGGTTAGTTGTAACAGCATTTGCAGAAATTAAATTGATTCCACAACAGAACTATTCAAGACTTTTCTTTCCACTACAGGTTGTTATATCAGTCTTGGGAAATCAAGCATGTGATGTCTTTCATAGATCGTTCTGTTGTATTTTGTAAATTCTTGGGAACAGTTGAGATTGGCATGCTATTAGAGCAATTTGAAACAATTTGAAATGGTTAGTGATTAAGATGATTTTGCTAGTGAAATGTGATACAATCAGATCATACTGTGCTCATATGTATGGACATTCTATATTTGCTCACCTGATGGTGTGGCTGTTTGTACTGGAAATAGAAGTTTTTAGTGCAATATGATTTGTTGCTTTATTAGGCAGATCAAGTTCATGCTAAATAAGCAAAAAGATTTTTAAAAATCACTGTAAAAATACTTGTTGAGGATGAAATGTTTAATTTTGTTATAACTTGCCACAGTATGACAATGTGTGCATGCACACTAAAACAGATTTTAGGAGAAAATACAGTATTAACTCACAAAGTGGACTGCTACTGCAATACAAGTAGGAAGTGGAAATTTAATCTTGAGTGAAAAGATAATAATGATAGGCCTGCTAAAGAACAAGATCCTGACAGGATGAGTAAATATATATAAATTGAAAATAGCAACAAGACCTCCATTTATAAACAGCGGATGAGCACATCTTCAATAGCTGCTGAGCTGTAACAACTAACCCCAGTTTCCTTTAATATTTCTGTTCTCAAGCAAAGCATTTTTTTGTATGCTTTTGTTACATATTAACCCCTTGGTGCCGGGTGACGCCGATCGCCAAAGCGCGGCGAGCCAGTGATTCGGGCTGATGTCCCCTACTCACGCGCTCAAAGTCGGCGCGCCGCCTTTGTTTGTTTAAGTGTAGAGTTTTTTTTTTCTTTTGTACACCCGGCGCCATTGGGTTAAGGAGATTCAATTTGATCCCCAAAGAACTTTTAAATGGTCATGAATGCTGTCCTTGCCCAGAAATGCTGTTCCCTTACTGAATTTCTCCTAGAGAGTCGTATAATTTCCCTCAGCTGGGATGACTAACCCTGCCCAGTGATCACTAATGGTTATGTTTGTGAAATAAGATATTCCCAAGTCATTTGTTTCATATACTTATGACTGTATCTGTGGAGTAGAGGTTTGGGTGTGTTGTTACCATGATTTTAAGAGCCGTTAAAGCGCATGATTATTTCCAATCTCGTTTTTTTTTAATAAGTAGATTGCGAGTGGCATGACTAAAGGCTTTTATAAGTGCATGTGTGTGTGTAATTCATGTCGTCCTCTCATTTAACACTATGAATACATGCTGGAAAATGTTTATTTCTTCATCTCTCTCCTTTGTCTTCTCTCTTGCAACTTTTTCTGCCCTCTCTCTTGTCTGTCTCTTCTCTGTCTCATCTGTCTCATCTGTCTCATCTGTCTCTTCTCTCTCTTCTCTCTCTTCTCTCTCTTCTCTCTCTCCTCTCTCTCCTCTCTCTCCTCTCTCTCTTCTCTCTCTCTGTCTCTCTCTCTCTCTCTCTCTCTCTCTCTCTCTCTCTCTCTCTCTCTCTCTCTCTCTCTCTCTCCTCTCCTCCCCTCCCCCCCTCCCCCTCCCCTCCCCCTCCCCCTCCTTCCCTCCCTCCTTCCCTCCCTCCTTCCCTCCCTCCCTCTCTCCCTCCCTTCCTCCCTCCCTCTTCCCCTCTCCCTCCCCGCTCCCCTCCCTCTGCCTTCCCCTCTCTCCTTAGAACACAAGCATATAATCCCTGATGCCATAAACAGGTGGACTTAAAGTGCATGTTCTGAAAAATTTTACGTTGAAGTTTTAACATTTTAAGCTGCATTATGAACCATATAATTTAGATGGTTAGAAATTGCTGTTCTTGTACACCAGTGATTGTTTTTTCATATTTCAGTGATCTAGAATTATTATTGTTATTGTTTTTATGATTTTTACTCCTTCTTTATTAACAAAATTGACTTTCACCACACAGGCATTTCTTCCTTAATGTCAGAAAAGTTGCTTTTGCAACAGTATCGTCCTTGGCTGAGTAATTACTTTCCTCATTTCACTAGAAATTCAGGAGAGGAAAGGTTCAAAATTCACTCTTACCTCATTTTTTTTAGTTATTGTTGATTTAGGTGATTGTGAGGTTGTGTGTGTATGACATGCTTTGTGAGTAGTTGAGGGAGTGAGTAAGCGAGTGAGTTGAGAGGGTGAATGAGTGACCTGAGTTGATAGGGTGAATGAGTAAATGAGTGTGTTGGAAATAGAGAGAGAGAGAGAGAGAGTAAGAGAAAGAGAAAGAAAGAGAAAGACAGACAAAGAGACAGACAGACTGACTGCCTGACAGAGAGTATGTGAGAGAGATGAGAGAGTAGAGGGATTGGTTTTGTAACTATTTTAGTTGGAAGTTTGAAATAAGGGAACCATTCATGTAGTTACTTAAATTTTAGTTTTAGGATCACATCATTTATTTTTATCTTAATTATAATATTTTTTGTATGTGCATTTATTAGTGGAATATTCAGGTGGGTAGCACAGGCAATTGTAAAGTATCAATTCTTGTTAGCAAATTAATAATGCATGTTTCTTTATTTTGAGAAGTCAGACTATAACCTCTTCTCTCTCTGCTATTTATCATCTAAATCCACGGAAATCATACGGCTTTAAGTGAAGACTGCCTGTCCTGGATAAAAAGAACACAGAGCAGATTTATTAGATGCCATTTCGTGCAAAGTCTAGCTTGCACTCGTTTTATGTGAATTGCTAGTTTTTAGATTGATTGCGTATGAAAATGTTTCTGATTAAGACAGGTAACATTATCACGCATTATTACAGATTTATTAGATGCTGTTTTGTGCAAAGTCTAGCTTGCATTTGTTTTATATGAATTGCCAGTTTTTAGATCAATTGTGTTTCGAAAATGTTTCTGATTAAGACATGTAACATTATCACATACTATTGTAGAATTTCTTATTGTGAAAATATTTTACTTATTTGTAAGACATTAGAGTTAGAAGCCATAAGCAGTTAGTGTGAGTTAGACACAGTTGTTAGAAAGGTTTTGATTGAAAGCAGTTTAGAATAGTTTTGTGCTACAGTACTTTTGCAGAGTATGGCAACAGAAGGAGATCCATAGATAAAACAGCTTCTTGTGTTTTTGAATAATGTTCTTTAGCTTTCAAGAGTTTCTTATTTCATTAGCAAGTGTGTGAGGTAGAATTGGAAAAGTAGTCGACTCTTAAATATATAGAATGGTATTAAAAATATAAAATATCAGAAGCAAGATATAATTATACCAAGTCTGCATTATGATTCATCTGTACTTTCTTTACAAGTTTAGTTAGTTCCTCAGCCAAAATTATATCATAGTTGGTTTATTATTTTCGTGATTCATAAGAAGAAATGCCTTTGCCTCTGGAGTTATATTTGTCATTAATAAAAGTTTCTTGAAAATACCATATATATCTGAATTGACTGATTTTGATCTTCATCAGTAGTTACATAAAAAAAAAAAAAAATTCTTCTTTTGAAATTCTAAGAACACCAGTGATCTTTTTCACTAGAGATTATTAAGATTATTGCTGTGAAATCTCCAGGCCAGGCTGTGGTGTGCGAGGTAATGCGCAGGATTCTGGCGGCCAGGGCTATCCACAACGTCTTCTCCACCATGGAGCTGCACCTCTCCACATCGCAGTCACACTTGATTCTCTCAGAGCCTTCAACGGGCAATATTTGTCTGCGACATAGTCTGAGCGATGTTGCTTACTGGGCAGCTCACAGTGAAAATCACAAGTGAGTTTTAAGTTGAATGATTATTTCTACTTAGTGTCTTTTAGTTCTATATTTTTCTAAGTAGGTGCAATTGGAATTCTCAGTAATAAACATTTCATGTTTTATCTCTATCTAAAAAAAATATTTTAGTCTTTTATTGCATACCCCAATGCACCCATGCATATAGAAGTGACACCGAATTTTATCCAAGTATGGTAGAGCTACCCAATATGATTCCAAATATGTTGCTACTCCTCAGTGCCAGTAAGCTGTTTTTTTCTTAAAACCATTTCTGGCAATAAAGACTTGAGAGATGATAGGTAGATGTTAGCATTCTAGAGAAAAATATGCTAGCATGATAAAAAATTTGTTTACATGTATAGAGTTTCTCTCTCTTTCTCTCTCTCTCACTCTCTCTCTCTCTCTCTCTCTCTCTCTCTCTCTCTCTCTCTCTCTCTCTTTCCCTCTTTCTCTCTTTCCCTCTCTCCCTCTCCCTCCCTCCCACCATCTCCCTTTCCCTTTCCCCTCTCCTTCTCTCTCTCCCTTTCCCCTATCTTTCTCCTTCTCTCCGTCTCTCTCTCTCTCTCACTTGCCCTCTTTCCCTCGCTCCCTCCCTCTCTATTTTTATTTCTCTTCCTTTTCTCCCTCCATCTCTTAATTCCCCTCTACCTCTTTTATTTCCTTTTCTGTGTGTTCCATGGTGATTGATATTTCAGGCTAGTTGGTTACATTGTGCGACAGCGGGACACCGAAGCCACTGACACTGCTAGCTTTTCCTGCTATGTGTTCGAGGCAGAGGGCAGCGGAACGGAAATCTGCTGTGCCCTTGGCGTAGCAGCAAAGACAGCTTACCATCAAATTGTTGAGAAGAAGACACAGGAAAAGAAGAGGAAGCAGGAAACAGTAAGTGTTATTTGATGGGAATCGTGGAGTAGCAGACATGATTTGATTTGTTTTCCCAATGATGATAATTCTAATGACATAATTCTCAGCTGCATGTTCAGAAATGTTGGGATAAATGGAATCATTTTGTACTATCAGAGGCATGCTACTTGCCAGGTATAATAACTCAGTTGATAATAGCCCCAGGTAGGACAGGTAACTGATTCCATGATTCCAAAGTCAGTGAAGCCATGTCTGCTAATTTCATTGTTATTTTTTTTAGCATGGACAATTGGCAGATACTGTAGCATGTGAATAAAACTGAATGTGCTCAGATTGTACTGCCAATTGATTTAGGTGAGGTGATGCAAGTAACTCGTACTTAATTTTACTTTCTGTCTGTCTTTCTTGCTTCTCCTCCCTAACCTAAGGATGCTTTGAGTAACAGTTGTGCTAACTGCTGTAAGAAATCAACTAAGGCTGGAATAAACACAAGGGAAATTCTTCTGTTTTTTATCTGGATGGCAGAATGCACTTTATGCCTGTCAGTTTTTGGATATAATAAAAAATGGTTGCACTAATAGAGGGGGGTTGTACAGTCATTACAATTTGAAATGATTAATGTATGGTTTGGTAATTCATCTATGAATTTCTTGAACCAAAATTATAAGAAGAATTTCATAATGGCACAAACTTACTGTCTTGAGGAGACCATCTGCAGAATTATAGCCATAATTTGGTTTACATATTTTTGTATTTATATTTAGTTTTTGTCAATAGAATTATGAGAAAAAAAGTACTTGTAATTACACATAGATTTAATTATGATCTTACCTTTATAGTTATACTGTGTTCAGAATGCTTTGTCTTGCTCATTCAGTGAACTTGTCAGGACCAACAGGACAATGAGGCTGCATTCAGAACCCTCCAAGGCCTTCATGCCCACAATGAAACCAACTTGAAAGTAAACATTCACAATTCTAACCCGTCCATGATAGTATTAGAAATCTCTTGGTGTCGCTGACTCCGGTGATTTCTGGCAACTGTCATGCTTTTTAGCATGTGAGTCCGCTACATGTAGTGGAACTTTCCGCTCGACTTGCTCTAGCATGTCAACGCCTGTAGCTGTGATGTTTCAGTTTGTTATGACGGGTATAGGCATAGCCTGGCAGATATGGGTTAACATGCTGAGATCTTTATTTTACACGCTGCATAAGTTTTATAACTCTTTTGATTTACCTACAACTGACAAACACGAAAATGCCCTTTGAAAACAATAATAAAAGGCCATAAAATTACCATACCAATATCTTATGGTTGCCTGCATCCATAAAATATTGCCATTGTGACGTCATCTCGTCCTGCTCGCCCGGCCGTGAAGGAGGGCAAGCCAAACCAAACAGCTAAAACATCTCTTATCCAGGGAGTTTTGAATGCAGCATTACATATCACAAGATGTAATGAGGCATAGTGAAAATGCCCTTCTTTGATTTGATGCAAATACAGGAATCCAGGAGGACTAAAAAGGATAAAAGAAATCAACCCTAATAACCTGCAAATCAGAACCACTTCACCTTTCCCTAGACAACTCGGCTGTCATGAGATAAGAACAGCAAGAAGATTAAACCAGAAGGGCAGAACTCACATGATGGGATGAGATTTTTTTTTACTTACTTATTAACTTACTTAATTTTAGTAAAAGACAAAAATGTTCTACAGATGGTCTCCCTGAATTAGTTGCTTCAGGAGACCTTGCATTTTCCAGAGAATTTAGTCTTGGCTAGGTATGTTATAGCAATATGTTAAGCTAAAGGTTATAAGCTAAAGTAAAATTGGCTTGAATCAAAAAGTTGAGATACAGACTATAAGACGCTATTTTTATCTGAAATAATCAGTTGTAAGTATGTAAGCAAAAAAGAGAAATACTTGAGATATTTTTTTTATGCAACTATGTTTTGGTTATGGAATTTCATTTAATGATTTTCAATATTTCAGGCTGTACTGTATTTCAATCTCCAAAATTATTTAATAGTAGACTTTCTTGTACTCTTGTAAGGGATCAGTGATAAATTCCTTCATTATGCTTACCCTTATCTGGGTCTCAGAATTATATGTTCTGTATATCGGGTGATGTTTGAAAAAAAAAATTGTTTTCTGTTGTCTCCAGAGTGTACATAATGCTTAAGATCTGTCTCTCTCTCTCTCTCTCTCTCTCTCTCTCTCTCTCTCTCTCTCTCTCCCTTTCTCTTTCTCTCTCTTTCTCTTTCTCTCTCTTTCTCTTTCTCTCTCTCTCTTTCTCTCTCTCTCTCTCTTTCTCGCTCTCTCTCTCTCTCTCGCTCTCTCTCTCTCTCTCGCTCTCTCTCTCTCTCTCTCTCTCTCTCTCTCTCTCTCTCTCTCTCTCTCTCTCTCTCTCTCTCTCTCTCTCTCTCTCTGTCTCTCTCTCTCTCTCTCCCTCTCTCTCTCTCTCTATCTCTCTATCTCTCTATCTCTCTATCTCTCTCCCTCCTTCCCTCTCCCTCCTTCCCTCTCCCTCCTTCCCTCTCCCTCCTTCCCTCCCTCTCTCTCTCTCTCTCTCTCTCTCTCTCTCTCTCTCTCTCTCTCTCTCTCTCTCTCTCTCTCTCTCATTTTTATTACGGTATATGGAAAATGAAACCTATAAAACCAATAAGTCTCTTTTCAGACACCTTCTAGGCAATATTGATCAACTCCTCCCAAATATAAATTACTTTTTTATTATTATTATTATTATTATTATTATTATTACTTTATTTTTATTACATTGTGTGGAAACAGGTACCAACAAGCTTCTTTCATTTGCAGAGACTCCTTCTGGCCAATATTGCTCAACTCCCAGACATAGATGATCCTCCTCAGGTGAGCTCCGACGGACAGTTCCTCATTCTGGATGGGGACCTACCCGGCTCAACCCCAAGAACACCGCCTGTTTCAACCAAGAGCAGTCAGAGCACTCCTGCTAGAGACCCCAGAAAAGTGACCCAGGAGGAGGATCCGGAGAGCGAAGCATAAGAGGTTTATCTTGGTAGACCTTAAACCTGCATGTTTTACTTTTTTCTTTTTTTTTCTTTTTTCTTTCTTTCTTTTCATTATGAAAAGGGTACTCCATTATTTTTGGCAAGTTGGATGTCAATTTCAGATCTGTGAACTCTTTGGGGCAAGTTATCTCATCTTGTTTATGATTATTTTGAGATATTTGATTTCTTTATGACAGGTGTATATATACAAGATACAAGAAATTTGAATGGATAGTGAGGAGCTCTTACATACTTCCTTCAGTAAAGGTTATATGAACCTCTAATCATCTGTAGGAAAATGAATTATCAAATGCCTAACAGACAATGATAGATTGTGCTTATATTTCACAGGGACTGATGAGCTTTTAAAAATGTGATATAAAATTGAAATGCAACTTTGCAATTTTTTTTTTTTTTTTTTTTTTTTTTTTTTTTTTTTTTTTTTTTTTCCAGTTAATCATTACACATGTTATGATTCTTGCTTCTTTCATCAGTTATTATCCAGTACTCCAGATTTCATAGCTTTAGTAATGAAGGGAACAGAGGATAATTTACTCTAAATGTTTGAAAAGAAAAGATTAACATTGTATTTTCAGTGTTCCTTTGATGGTTGTTTCATTTAATTAATGTTAATTTTTGATGCTGTTATGAGTATATTTGAAGAACACTGAATTCCTAGAGAATTATTTAATTTATTTTAGCTTCAGAATATAGGGAAGTACAAACCAGCATTATTTTTATATTTAACATTATTGTCTTCTTGAGTTATGTAAAGTTAGGTATTATATATTTGTAGCTTGTTCATTCTTATCTGAAATATTAGTCGTGATACTTCAGGTGTTAACAGCAGCTGAACATAGTCATGGTCTGATACATTTGATCTGATGTCGGCCTGATGATTCTAATCAGCACAAACATTGGGCTGGAGTAATGAAAACATTCCCTAAGTGTAAATTTGATACTCTTGATGTCTGATGACAATCACAAAACACAATGCCATAAGATTGTTTATCTACTTTTTCCCTTGTGAAAAATTACTTTATGTTTGTTTTAATGGTGGAATTATGATGCCAATATCTATATATACAGTACACACACACACATATTCATTCATTCTAAAGTTAGTATTGTGAAAGAAATCAGGATTTAATTTTTACCAACTGAAAACCTATTTGAACTATGTTATTATAGAATGGCCATATAGTGGAGGAACAATATTAAAAGAATGGAGACTTTTGTCTACAGTACTCAACTCCTCATGTATGGCGTTTACTATAGATCTTTTGTTAAGATACATTATATAGTAGTTTCACTAAATGCTCTTGATACCTAATGTAATTTTGTTTCACTTCTTCAAGTCTGTCTATTCTTGTAGAAGGCAGTGCAGAGAAGCATTTATGAGGCAGCCTTTCTTTAGTAACCTATTCTTCACATTGTAGCTTGTTTTTGAGTCTAGATTCATTAAATGGGTCACAGAAACCCAGAGCTAAGATTAAGCACTCCTGATCTCCACCCTGACTGTTACCTCTGCATTCTTTTGATGAGTCTGGGTGATGTAGTGTACTCATATTTTGAGGCTTATGATGACAAGCTTATTCTAACTGGATACTAATTCTTACACTCCTAGGTGCATACCACAAGTAAAGTGAGTATGAGGAAGTAGCAACCAATTACTCTCCAACAGACCAAGGAGAATTTTTTAAGCTCATTGTTTCAGGGGGAATAATGGTTGGTTGGTTGTAAATTGCTCGAACCTGAATTTTAAAGAGAAAGTAAGGTGGTTTCATATTTGTCTTTGTAAGGAAATTGGCTTTACGAGATGTAGTCATTTAGTTTTAAGTGCACATTGTACCTAAATCAAATTACAGCTGGTATGTAAACATATTGGTGCTAAATGCATTAGATGCAGTTTCCACTTCATAGCAGACATGATGAGTTGAGAATTGTGGAAGGCTTGTGTTATGCCCTTTTAAAGGTTTAACTTTATGTGAGTTTGTATGAAGTCATTAAGGTTTTTGGTGTTCTTCCTATGGTGATCTTATTTAACAATAATGCAGGAGAATAATCAGAATACTTTTATATTTTGGCATTTACCAAAGAATTTTAGGTATTGTCACGTATGACTGATGTTGAGAATAATTGCTAGTCACACTGGCTCTTATTTTAAGAAATATAATGCAGCTGTATTTTAATCAAATGTAAACAATATGACCAAAGACTAAAGAGTCATAGATGTGATCTAACAGGCAACATATGTCTAACCATCTAACCGTCAAACTAACTGTCCTTATTTTCTCATTGTTACCATTGTTTGATAAGCATTCTTCCGGTCCTCATCATAATTTTCTGGTAATTTAAATTTTTTTTGTGGGGCTTTCTTATTTTTTTTTTAAGTTCATTTAATGGAAATTAGTTCAGGGCTGGAAGATAATCTCGTCTGCCATATATCCTACTGGATATTTACTGCTCACAGGAAATCATCTACAATGGTTAAGCAGCTTATTTCAAATTAATATAATTTATTGAAATTTACGAAAATTGATTTTCGAACATTGTTATCACCCCTGGAAATAGTTAGTAACCTAAATTTAGTCAGGTAGTACATAGAGATGTAAGGATGATGATAGAAATAGTAATAAAAATATCTTATGGAAAAAACTGAAAAATTAATAATTATAGGCTGTTGATTTAGGATGGGCAAATATCTTGTATTTATCATTATTAACTTTATTTTTGGCCATTTCAGTACTTCAAAATTTCCACAAAGTGTTGCCATTTACACAGTTCCATGTTGTATAGCAAAGCAGGCAGACTTTTATGAAATGTGTATTGTCTTGAAGTACCACCTTGCTGTTTTGTAATCATGACTAACTTGACATCATATAATTTTGTTATAGACTAGTCTTGCAATTGTTTATCCCATTCCCGCCGGGCATGCCATGCCATGCCCACTGTGAGATTACTTGTTAGATTGTTTTCACACATAGATGGCTACACTTGTACAAAATCACCAATGAGCCAGTCATGAGTACTGCCTGTCTCGCCCGTTCACCCTTTTCTTTGATTTAAGAAATATTTTACGTTATCTTAATTTTGTGTTACTAATTTTAAAAAACATTATAAAAATTAGGATGTTTATGATAAAAATAACACCATCGATATTCATGGCACTAGCGAAAAATACGTTTTTCCCGCCATTTCAAATCAGGCGCTAACAGAGCCATCTATGGGCAGACATTTAACAAAAAAGTATAGAAAATAGGCACAGCATTTTCCCCATTTTTTGTTCATTTTCCCCGGCGGCAATGGGTTAAGGACAAGAGCATTACCGTATACAGTAGCAAGCAGAAAAGTAGCCCAGCTGACAGAATCCCACATGGGCTACAGACAATACTAACTATGCTATCTCAGGAGGTAGTACGCTATAGTAAGGAGGGTGTTATAAAGCAATACATGTTGGCAGAGGAACCACAACATTTTTCATGCTTATTTTCATGCAATAGAAAGCTAATTCTTTAATAATTGCAGCTTCCTTTAACTTCCTTCTCAAAATTCAAGAATTCTCATTCTTTTGTTGTAGCCATATTGGGATGCTTGTTTTTATAGTCACCACCTATGCATTACACTGCTCAGTTGGACAAGTAGTGACAATCCTAGCCTTAGTGTCCATAGCTCATCATATGAACACAGGATAGGACAGTTTGGATAGGAACCCTGAATGTTTAAGAGGCCTTTAAAGCTGTAGTACCACTACTCAGACTCAGCCTTGGTCCTACAGCTACCATCATCCAGCCAAATCCTCCCAAATTGGTTTCATTATAATTACTCTACCCTGGTCTAGGCATGTCCAAGCTCACGTCGACAATATTAGTTACAATAACCTGTACCATATTTTTTGTGAATTTGTTGGCCAGTTAGATCATCTGGATAGAAAACAATAATCTTGAAATACAGTGCTTGAAAATGAAGAAATTCTGAATACCTCAGAAAATACAAAATAGATTTTGGACCAGTCTGCCTGTGGGTAGTCTTTCTTCTTAGTCTCATATGAACTTTATTTCTCAATTTATTGTTACTTTGAAGTAAACCATTTTGTAAAATCAATGCAACATTTGATGTACACATTTTAGTACATTTTTAATTATACTATAATTTTTTACTAATATTTAACAGAGTCAAACAAATCCTAGACCAAAGGTTCACCTTACCCCCAAGAAAGCAGAGCAGGATACAGACAGACAAAGCTCTAGGTCTGGTTCCCCTAGTTATCCAGATAGCATGCCAAAGTAATGACCCCTAATGTGTGCTTGATTCCAAGACCAGATAAGTCATGTGTAACCGCAACTTAAAAAGGCCTACAGTCGTAAAGCATTTGATATGGATATGATTTCAGCTATTAACAAGAACTACAGGTTTACTGTTTGTTTGCGTTCTCCACCTGTAAGGAAATGGGAAATAAAGCATTTGAAAAATATTCATGAAAATCTAAATTATGGAGGAAGGTCCTGAAATCTATGCCCATTTCTGAATTATTAAATCATCACCTGAGATACAAGGCCAGCATTGCCCAGGTTAATGATACCACTGTAATAATTCCTTTGATTCATGCTAACATGTCTTTATTAATTAATTAATTACCAGTTACATTCAGTTTCTTATGTGTGCAGATATTACATAAGGGACTTTTAGCTCCTAAAACACCTGGTCTTTTACTGTTAGGTATTCCCCATCCCAGAATGTGTCAATGTTGTAAGAAACAATTTACTGTCTTCTGAAACTATAATTGGTTACTTACTCTCATCCATTTGAAATGACAGTAATTTGTTTATTTACTAATTAGTAAATATTTTTGTTGTTGTTGTGTTGTCACTTATAATTTTCATTTTGTAAAACAAATTCAAGGAGGTATGCCATTTATGGTTTTACATCTAACATGAGTCCCATTTTTTTGAACATGGTGATTGTATTGCCATTAGCAAGGAGGATAATAATGGATAACAAAATTTGTAAATACTCAGCAAACCTTTGATATTATGTACTAGTATTGTAATCCCGTTATAGTTGTGCTGTAATCATTTATATGTTGTATATTCATATGTATATTTTGTATGAACTTTGTTTATGTTATGCATGTGCATTATTTTTGCATGAACATAAATGTCAAAATGTGAAGGTATTATGAAGATAATTACCACAAGTTTCTAATGCAAATATACACTTATAACCAAACCAACTGAAAAGAACCATGTAAATTCCTGTATTGGAAATGAACAGATTAATGTAGCATGGCATTCAGTTTTGCAGTCACAAGTTCTTTGTTTTCACATAAATATATGGAAAAAATCATTTAAGAATGTTTTGTATGTAAAAGTAAAAAGCAGTACACTTGTAGAATAATATATTTATAAGAGATGAAAGAAA